TCAGTATCTGCGAAGTCCTGATCAGGCCATTGTTGGAAGAGCAGTGATATCCAGTGGATTCCATAGTAAACAAGCCCCATCCAACCTTTATCAGACTCAGCCATGTACTCCTTCAAGTACATTTGCTATCAGACGATTCACTACAGACACCAAGGATATTCATCAGGCCATCCATTATGATCAGTCCACTATGTCTGCAACTGGCAGTGAGAACCGCACCTTTACACCCTTGTCACCATCAGTAGCAGCAGAAGATACTGTGAGCGAAGACGATTTGCCAAAATTGGTGGCTACCAAACGAAAAAAGGGCAAATTGAAACCAAGACCCAGCAACCCCTTGAAATTTCTACCCAAAGAAGACATCACCAAGCATCTAACAACAGAACATCCAAGAGAGCCCAAAAAGAAGAACAAGAAAAAGAAGAAGAAAAAGTCCAACAAAGCTAATACTCGACAACGAAGAAAATCAAAGTCAAAGGAAAACACTGATATTGTGATTGCTATACCCACTTCGGAATGGATCCACGTGGGAGACATTTCTCCCATTTCCACCCTCGAAAGCATGGTCGAAGGAATCAATGAAGCTTTGGATGCGCACTTGGCCACACACGGCGGAATTGTGCACGTCGACGACTCCACCCAACTGCTCGATTTCCAAGACATGTTTCCAAATCATCATCATCACGCGACAACCAATGATGACGACGAAGAAGAACAAATAATGGTACAGGAAGATTTGTTTCGTTGGGTCCAACAGGCTCATTTGATATTGTCGTCCTACGGACGTCCCGCTGGATGGAAAGTCCAATTGGCCAATCGATCCATTGCCTATGCCTTGTTGCAACAACATGCCAAAACGTGTGTACAATCTACCTGGAAACCATTGACCATTGCACCATTAACAGAAAATACCCCACAGCACAACACCAACAATGCACAATGTGTGCAAGCGCGATTGGAAAAACCTTCCAACGACAACGGATTCGGTCACAATCACGTCTTTTACGACGACGATTTGGGCCAGTCGTCCTTGGATTGGATTGACGATTCGGTCGTACGCGTTGAAAATTGCGGCGACGACCACTACGACGCAGCCATGGACCTGTTTCATCTCTTTGGATCGTACGAACTCAAGGCTCCTTCCATCTTGCAATGGACGTTGCAGCACGATGGACACGGACCTCGATCGACCTACTTGGTACGATTCGAAGATCCCGATTGGGCTCGGGCCGCCATGCGAGACAAGCAGGGGCATGTCATGCCGAGATCGAACAATAGGGACAAATCGCTACGGTTGATCCAATTTCCAAAGCAAAAACGAAGGAACAACAATGTGATCAAGGAAGATGAACCAGAGGAAGTAGATGGGGATGATGAAGAAGATAACCACAGTTCGAGAATGGCAGTGGTGGAGTGAGGCTGATCGAGGCATAGAAAACGGGTTTGGAGTTATAGTTGGGAGGATATCTTCGCTCCTACACTGGTAACACGGCGGTCACAGCTTCTTGGTTTGGTTCCATCTGGACATACCGGTACGTAAACCAACTAATAGAGCTGGAGTCTTTCGCTGCCTTGAGCGATGATTCTCAAAGCATGGTTCTTCAAGGGTTCTTCTTTGCTGCGTTGAGCGAGGGTAACTTGATTCGCAAAGCATTGTTCTTCAAGGGTTCTTCTTCTTCATCGTCGTCGTCGTCGCTATGGAGTTCGTCGTGATCTTCATCTTCTTCTGCCTCGTCCTCCGAGCAATCGTTGCAGAGCATGAGGTCGAAGTAATCGATCGCCTTTGCTGGAGAAATGACGGACCCATTTCGAACAACTGCATCCACAATTTCTATTTTCAGTCGAACGTTGACAAGATCGGGGTCTACAGGCTCATCCCGCCCACGTTTCTTCAGACGAGCGTATTCCCAAATCGGAGGTCGTGGCAAAATACCAGCATCAATCAAACCCAAGGCAGTGCAATACTTCAGGTGGATAGTTTCCAAGTGCACCCCCTTGCGATAAGAATAAGACTTCTGCGCACCACTCTTTGTTCTTGGATTCGCCTGGATGTAGGAGCCCTGGCCAGAGCGAACACATTTTCCGGCAAGTCGGCCGTCCACGGCCAAAACTTCAGAAGAAGCAGTGGGGATCTTCCCCTGGAAGTCGTGTTTTGTTCGCTCTCCAACACAGATTGCAGTATAAAACGAAACGGATATCGTTCCTATCATGCCTGCCGCTGATGCCGACTCTGCAGAGGTCGTCGAAAGTCGAGCTGTTTTGAATTGCAAAGCTTCATGTGCGCCATGTCCATTCTCCCGCAAAAACCTGCCGCATTCTTTTGGGCCGTCCTTGGAAGATCTTGGAAGTGTGTAGCCAAGTTTTTTTCCATCGATTGCAAAAACGACGATAAACTTTTCATTTACGTCCCTTCCGGGTTTGCTCAGGACCTGAGGACAAAGGAAATATTGAGCTTCTGGCTCGGCTTCAACAAAGTATTCGCCACTTTTGCTTTCGTGCTCCTTGAACGGAGTCTTCGTCGCCGGGTCCACCAAAACAACAGCGAATCCACTTTTGGTGACTACCATGATGAACCGAACGTTGTACGTCGAAAACGAAAGTCGTGGCTCTGAGATTGTGTCCGCATGAAAGGTGACTCGACTCATCAGTTTCTTCAACCGACCGATCTCGTGTTGCACGCAGCGTTGAATGTGTCTTCTCACCCGTATCCAATAAAACCACCACTATCAAAATATGGGACGTTCATAGAGCTAGCTACAGGGTTGAGAATGGAAAATACTATACCTTGACCTTGGCTAGCTACTGGAACTGATTGATCGTGGCAACTATCACACGAAGGCACTCCTTGCCTTTAAACTTGTGCAGCCCAACGTACGAATCCCAAATCAAGGCATTGGCAACTACCGGCCTTCAGCAGTATACGCCGTTACAACTCTTAAACCTGACCTGTGCTAACCTAACAAACAATTTTGGATGGGACCAGAAGGCTTACTCGATGTAAGTTGTGGTGATCAAATCCTCCCAATCTTTGTGGCGGGAAACGGCCTTATCAACCACACAACCAACGCTTTCCACTCCCGCCTCTGTAGTTGCCCACGCCACCGATAGGCCGCAGTCTTGACGGAAAGTGGCCTTTGGTGGAAGTGATCGATCATGTACCTTGACCGTCCCGACTCTCTTATCCCTGGCCAACAGAGTCAGTCTTCGTCATTCGAATCAACGCCAGCCACGGTCAGGTCTAAGAGCTCCCATCTCTTGCTTGGCTCGAAAACGACACCATCCTTGATGATGGCATCCCTTGAATGCATTTCAGGCTGAACGTTTCGAAGCCATGGTTCGGGCTGCTTCTTGACTGGAAAGCGCAAGCGAGCACATTCCCACATCTTTGCCTTGCTGACTTTGAACACTCCAGCCTCCACCAAGCCCAAAACAGTGCAGTAATGGAGTGTGAGGCTCTCAAACGCAGTTTCTTCTCGCTCGTGGACAACAGTGTGCAACGATTCCTCGACTGTGCAGAGCGTCGATCCTTGTCCAGAGCGTACAAGAGCCTTTTTGGGAATTCCTTCCGAGCGAGCATTGAGACTGCCAGATTTCCCTACATGTAGCACGAGAAATCTTCTTTTTCTTGTTTTTATGCTTGGCTTTCCAGAAGGAAACAGCGACTTGCCCCAGCATCGATGCCACTTCGAGCTGGTCAGCTGCCACGGCTGATGTCGAGATTCTTGGCCTCTCAAATCTAAGGGACGTTGAAGTTGATGCACCTTTCTCGTGCTTCCAACCTCCGCACAGATGGGCTGTGTCATCTTCGATTGTCAGCTCGTAGCCAAGATCACACCCATCGACTTCCAGGTCAGCCACAAAGACAGAACCCGAACCGAAAAAATCATCATCATCCTTAGCCAGATATTGGACTCGAATGAAGTACTCTGCCCCAGGCTCCACTTCCGCAAAGCACTCGTCGGGTTTGCCTGTCAAGGAGTGTTCCTTGAATGGCTGCCCCGACACTGCTTCCACAAGCTGGACTTGGAAGTTGCCTTTGACGACCATCTTGCTACAACAGATAGATTGGATATCAATTTGTTCTATGATGTGATTGGTATCTTTCTCGTTCCTGCGTTTTTCTTTGAACACGATTTGAAGTTTTCTGGTGAACCCGACATGCTCGTTGAATCTTCAACCCCGAGTGACGTTGGTTTATCGTTCAGAACCATCTTTGGCGTGGCTGTCCACTGGAAGGACCCATTCACACAATCAAGGCATTCCTTCATCGTGGTCTCCTGGCACCGTACCGGTATGCCAATTGTTGCGGGCGATTCGAGCTACCGGTACGTTGTACGGGTCCACTGTCTAGCTTATGAGCTATATTGCTGGCTCTGGAAGTCAATCTGGCTCATCCTTGATCTTGCCTTGAACCCTAGCACAGAATTGCCTTAAAAAACCTCTGCATCGAATTCTTGTCAAAAGAGCCGCACCTCTGATCATGACTAACCACGCCAATGGATATACTTGTGAATTGCAGAAATAAATAAAAATGGAAACCAAATAGAAAACCCCCGTTGTGCCCACATGCCATTCATTTTGTCGCTTCGGTTAATCAATCGTCAAGAGAACTCAGATCGTAGACTTCAATTCGCTCCGCCTTTTTAATGGTCACG